TAGGTTTCTTAAGTATCTCAGAGTTCTTAGGTTTCTTAGGTACCTCAGGGTTATTCGGTTTCTTAGATTACTTAGGTTTCTTAGGTTTCTTAGTTTTCTTAGGTTATTCAGGTTTCTCAGGCTATGTCCAAGTTAGGAAGTCCAGTTTAGAAGTCCAAGTTAGGAAGTCCAAGTCCAAGTTATGAAGTCCAATTTCGGTCCAAGTCCAAGTTTTAGTAGTCCAAGTTCGAGTCCAAGTCCGAGCTTGAGCGCGGGCCCTATGCGTGGCCATCTGAGATATATCGGCACTATTCCTGATGTCTGCGCCCGGCTCCTTAGAATCTCCATAGACCGTTCCTCGTTTGCACGAAAGCGAAAGTTTTATTGTATGTATCCCATTTTTGAAACAATGTGCCGGGCCAATTTCCCTTAGCGTTTCTTTACAGCGAGCAAGGTATTCCTGCGTATTTCATTGGTATTTTTGCGTATTCTTTCCTGTATTCTTCCTTATTCTTTTGTGCAACTACTTAGAGAAGTGATATTCTTGCTTTTGGTTATTTTTATAACCCCGTCGAACACTGGAAACTGTCTTATTCGTTAGAAACGGGATGTCTCGCTGGCTGCTCCGCGAACTCTGCTTGCGCCGCAGCTCGGCTTCGCCTGCGGCTCCGCCTTCGGTTAATAATCCAGAATACTCCACCAAGCTGTCTAATCTTTAACTGTTACTAAAACGAAAATAAGCCAACGAATTTTAACAAACGATAAGAATTCGAAGTGGGAGAAGTAGCACTTCGTCACGCTCGGCAGGACAGCCGCTTTTTCATGCAGCAGCCAAATGAGCCAACACAGTACTTCTAGTTCAGCAGTAAATGTTGTCCTACCTCATGGACGGGCTGAAACGTTAAAATTAAGCATACCGCCATGAAGACAGTTATTTAACCGTCAAATGGTTTCGCAGTTATTTCCGATTTTCCTGATTGGCTGTTACACTGTTCCGTAGACTTTATATAGTAAGGTTTCCCAGAGTTTTATTTAAAACGTATTCGTTTCCTCAGATCTAACTGATTTTGTAAAAACCTATCAAATTAAGGCTATCGAATAATACATAGAGCTTAGAGATTAATCAAGTGTGTCGTTCGGGATGGATGCGCAGACACGATGACCACATCTCCTCTTATTATCTCCTTTATTATAAAAGATTCCCGTAGAACTTTTTACAGTAGCGAAATCTCATATAGCTGAATGTCCCCTTCGTTTCGTTAATAACGACGGGTACTGCCGTTTAAACGCTCGTTAATTGTACCCCATCGTTAATTCTATCGCCAATCGTACCCCTTCGTTGATACCGCAACCTGCTTATTGACTGTGGTAACAATTAACATAATTTTTTCTAGTCTGGAAAGCGGAATTCTTAGAGGCGTAGTACAACCGGAGATTTACGACGAAAACCGGTATTAAGGTTATACGCCGGCTTCGCAGTTATGTGTCTAAAGCTAGATCCAGAATGGATCCAGAGACAGAGACAGAAACGGGATCTATCCTGTGGAGTGAGCTACGCGGAAGTGTAGCGAACTATGCGGAAACACAAAACGTCGCACCGCGTATAGCTGACTTTTAATATTATTGAAAGTCTGGAGCACAGAAAATCAACAACTGATCGGCACAGCTCGATCGCAAATCGTAGAGCCAATTCAACAGTGTGTAACACTGTGCAGCACGTGCTAAGCCGCGCCCACTAACAAAACACAAGCCAATCAGAGCGAGACACAACACAGACCGTAATCCATCGGCGTAGCGCCTAGCGCCATAGGCGTGAACGCTAGTGAGCCCTCGTCTCACATGCCTCTGGGGGGATGCCGAGCTCCGTTGAGGCTGGACACACTCCCGAATCCACGAAAAACGACGGTCGCCGGTGTCTGTGCGTGCTCGAAAACATCAAATTCTCATTTATCACATCAATTCCATAAGGCACAATTCCATTTAATACGATGTGAATAAAGAGATCCATTTATAAAAATACTATTCCATATCAATTCTAATACAAAACAGATCATCAGTTAAAAAGATCAACAAAAGTATTAATCAAATGTAGACTAGGATCCTCCATTTCTGACTCGTAAAGGTCACAGGTCCTGTCCACCGTTTTCCGCACTTTGGCCCATTCCGCTCTGTTGAGCAAGTCCGCGCATCCGTAATGCGACTTGTAATCACAATCCACTTGAGAATCAGGTGCGTATCAAGTACGACTTAGGAATACTGCTTCATCTTTGGGATATTGTGCGTATCAATTGTACGACTTCAAAGTGAGATCCAATAAGGGTCATGGAGGGACGTCATATAGACAAGCATAGTTCGCTTCCTCCCTGGTAAAGGTCATCCTTTGTTAAGATGATCCGTTGAGATGTGCGACTCGTTTTGGGTTAATGGTCCGAAAAAGGTCATGCGACTTGAATTCTAATACGGTGACTCGGTTGGACATTAGTAATTCCAAAGGTCATCCGACTTCATTTAAAACTTCCATTAAAGGTCATGGAGGGACTCAGCCGATTTTTAACGACTTTCAAGCACTTCTTCGCTTGCCTCCCTGGTAAGGCTTTCACTTTGACCTTTCCGTCGCACATCCAACTTCAATATGCCTCGGGCGGCCAGAGTGCCGGCATAGTTTACCGTAACATCTCTGATGGGGCCGGCTAACTACCGCATTAAATTTACCCCACGACGCTTCCACTTTTAATCTTTGACTCTTGTTCGCCGCTTGTGGCCAAACTTCGGTACGAGAGATCCGGCTTGGTTACCGCTATTTCTCTCGTTGATTTTTAACACTGGGTCGCTCGGAGAGATTGCCGGCATAGTTTACCGTAGCAACTCTAATGAGGCCGGCTGACTGCCGCATCAAGTTTACCTCATTAATATTTCCACCTGTTGTCTTTCTCTTTTTCGCCGCTTGTGGCCCACTTTCGTATTCAAGAGATCCGGCTTGACTACCGTAGTTTCTCTTGCAAATTTAAAACACTGAATCGCTTAAAGAGGAGAGCCGGCTAATTGCCGTAACAACTCCCTTGGGGCCGGCTTTATAGACCGAATCAATTTCAACCCCAATAGATGCTCCATATGATTTCTTTCGGACAATTCTGTGCTATAAACGCTGAAAACAACAATACACGAATACAGTTTATGTGAACAAGTCATAACGCCCTTATATACGACACCCTGTTTCATTTTTCTGACGTACCGACATATGCCGTAGACGCCCTTTTAATAGTGAGATCCTAGCGATCATCACTATTCCATTGCATCTGAATCGTCCTCGCCATCTCTTGGCGGGCGTTTCTTAGCACTTTCTGGTTGATTACGGTCAGACGTTCGGTCAATCGGTTCCGTTGAATCAACTTCCATGACCTTTTCCGGGTCAACTTCTCGCTGACCGCGACCCTTCCCTTGGCGACTGCGTTTAACCGCCTCTACCCGGTGGCGTGCGTCATTCTCTTCCAACCGCAGTCTTCGATTGTCGGGGTCATCTGCTAGTCGACGTTGTACATCGGCGAGATTTTCCCGAGGCTGCTGGTTCCGTAGGCCACGTCGTCCAATCTGGTTAGGGGCGCGTTCTGGGCGGCGATCGCTTTTCTTTACAAGGAATTCGTCGATGTACATTTCAACTCCGTCAAAAGGTTCGACGTAGTCACTTCCCATGGTGTCTTTGATCTTATTAATCCTCTCTTCTACCTGGGAGGCGTGGCATTGTGTAAGACTGCCCTTTTCCATCCGTATCTTACACTTTTTCAGCGCCTTTCTCGCCGTATGGGCTATTCCAACATGTTCCATGGGTTCGCCCAATTTCGCCACGTGAGATCGGAAGAGCGGTGGAATGTCATCCTTCATAGTGTTAGATACCAAGTGGTTCTGTGTCTTATAATGTGCCAGCCGTGCAGCAAAGACTTTTTGCCCCATCCTTCTTGCGGCATGGTCTTTAGGATCCACTTGTAATCCTATCGATGCTCTTGCTGCAAGCAGCTTGAAGGCTGGATTCACGTGTCGTAAAACAAACTGAGCCACATATTTCTGTCGTTCGGGATAATCTCTATAATAGAATTGAGTCATCCCGATTGGGTCAGTCGTATCCAGTGGCACGTCCAACAAATTCAAATCCAAAAGGCTATGTAATCCGTTTCGTCGGATGGGGAGATAACAATCCCTTGCTGAGTCACGGGGAATGTATAATTGACGGAAAGTTCCTTGTTCCACTCCCTCTTTAATTTGTTTCGCGTAGCCCGAATCGAATAAAAATTGACGCAGCTGATTCAGAATTGTGTGGATCTTATTCGCATCCGCCGAATCGTCTTCAATCCCCATATATCGGCAAATTTCTGTCTTTTGTTCATCAGTGTCGCGCATATCGTATACCATATCGATTGTGTCGGGGTGTCGGTTATTGAATCTGGAAGTCGTTCGTCGATCAACTTCGCGACGTTCCTCCGGTTCGCGCCGACTTTCTTGTTCGCGTCGTCCGCTCTGCAGCGGTTCAACACCCGTCGATGTGGATGGTTGGGGGTCACTATCAAGGACCACATTTCTTCGGTGTATCACGTTATCTTGAGATGCTTCTGCGGCTGAACCGAGCCCTTCCATCATGTCATCTTCTTGCGCCACAGGTGCTTCTGCGACTGAGCCAGGCCCTTCCATCGTGTCATCTTCCTGTACTGCGCTCACGATGGGATCCACTACATGGACTATAGACTCCATTCGCTGATATTTCGGGGGTGAATCTTCCCTTTCTGCGCTCGATGACCTCTTACTGGCGCCAGATTCGAAACCCGCATAATACTTGGCTCTTTCCTGCCATCGTTTATCTTGTGGGTCTGGCGTTCGATTTCGCGTATGTTCGCGTCTTTTGTCCCATGACCTTTCGGGTGTAGACATTCTAACGTTGCGGTTACGGAATCCAACCTCCATCGGCACCTGATGACCTTTCTTTTCAGGTTCTGTGCGGTATGACTCCGCACGCCGTTGTTCTTCGCGTCCTCTAGTCGCTGCTAAAATCTTTGCCGTATCAATTTTTCGTTGGATGCTTGTCTCGGTAATCTCGTTTCCATGGCGTACCCATCCTCTTCCGCCACGATAATCTCTGTCGTGAGAACGTTCGCGTGACCTTTCGCTGTGGTAATCCCGTGTCCTTTCCCGGGAGTGTTCACGTGACCTTTCGCTTCGTCTTTCAGAAGTCCGCTCGTGTTCGCGTGAATGTCCGCGTGACCTTTCCCTCTGCGGAGGCGAACGGGGTCGTGTAAACACGTCATCTCGTCTAAATCCTCTGAGCGCCTGGAGAACGTTACTCTCGTTCTGGCGGGATTTACGCAACTCCTCCATACGTTCTTCGACTGCTTTCTTTATGTATGGTGCCGGGCGAAACCCTTCTGCAGTCTCAATTTCTCCCGTAACAGCGCATCAAATAGGTCTTGTTGCATGGCCGCCGGATCACTCGTCAGCGTGTCGATTTGAATGATGAGCGACTGGCGTATCAGCTGTGCTTCGTCGTCATTGAGGCCGGCTGTCGGTACAGTCGAACTCGACGGATTGGGCTGCGCCTCTCGTGCGGCCTGTTCGCTCGCCTTTTGATTCGCCGCATTGATCTTCGCCCGGAGTTCATCCTCCAGCTGTTGCCGCCGCATCTTCTCCTGTTCCTCCTCGAATTTCTTTCGGTATGCGTCCGTTTGTGGGCATTTCAACGGCTCCAAAGTCTTGTCCCAGCCGCTTTCGTTATTCTGGATCGCTTCACGGTAACGATCCTCCAGTAGCATTCGTTCTTCAACTGGGATGCTGCCGTAATTCCTCGCGCTGATGAGGTTTCGAAAGACATCCATGTTCCCGCGTTTAGCTTCCATAAGTCCCACGAGTGAGACGATGTGTGGGTCCCCCAACCTGTGAACACATGTGTAGCACGGGAACTTCTTATCGACTTTTCTGTTATTCCGTAAACAGTCCGGACATTTAGGGTTATAGCCCGTAGATCTGTTTATCTCCGATGCGGATCCCGAGCTTTTAGGAGTGGCTTGACCTTTCTGTGCCATTTTCTCCGTTTTGAATCTACAATCAGAAAACAATCCGTCATAGTAATTTTTCCACCTTAATCTGTTCCATCTTATCCATTATCAAGGCTTCTCTAGCATTTTTACGCCTATTCCGTTACTGAGCTGAGACTTTCCTAGCTCATGCTGCCCTCCCTTTCTATCGCTGTAACGTGGTGACCTTTGTCACGTTATCAGCACTTTCTGACTACTGTGACCTTTTCTATTAGTCTTATCGTCGCTATTTCTGAAGTTGACCTTTTCGTTCTTATTTCCCGTAATGCTTTTCTCTTTCGTTTTTAACTATTTTATGCTTTTTTCTGTAATATGCAGGGTTCGTTACTCGCTGCATATTACACGCATCCCATTCACTCAGACTCCTTCGCCGGCGGTTGATATGGTTTGAAGTCAATTCGGCCATCCTGTTTGATATGAAGCACGTCATCTGCAATCAATGCTTCAACGGCGTTCTTGATCCATTCTTTATCGTTCTCAATATTCAATTCTCCCAATTCATAATGGACGGCCATAAAATTCGAAAGGTCACCCCATGACGCTCCATTGGTGCCGCCAATGGCGTCCAAAGCCACATCTGTAATGGCTATTTTCCAAGCCTCCAGTTCCATTTTCAGTCTGGGTGTGCGTTCCGTGCCCTGTTTCGGAAGATAGTAGATGACTTTGTTATCTTTGTTATATTTACATCCCAGTCTTCCTTCCTTATATGCCCGTTTCAGGACTCGTTCGGTCATATTTAGTGACGATCTTCCATTCGAGTTTACTGCAACTTGTCTTTTAAGGTCGGTGCCGAGCATTTCTTTTTCTCGAATACTCTGGAGTGCAGCTTGGACTTCGTTCCATGTCCGATTATTCACATCTAACGGCGCTCCGAGCGAATAATCTGTCGCCTCTTTGGCTTCCATTTTCTGGGGGGATTTTGCCGAGTCCGTTGCATCAGTCGCCTGTTCATCTATCTTCAATTTTGCCAACGAGCCTGATGACGACTGGGCAGATTTCGGTTCAACCGTTTTCTCTTCCTGTGATAAAGTCTCATGACCTCCCAGTTCGCCCGCCGACTTCGACCGTTCTTTCTCGAAGGCATCCTTCAGTGGTGCGAACAATGATTTCTGATACACTTGTCGCGCGGAGGCTGCCTCTGCTTCTGCCGCTGCCTTGTCCATCGGGAGCATGACCTTTTCTTTCTCCCGTTTTTCTGAAGTCCCGTGACCTTTCGGTTGAATTTCTTCCGTCGCAGTTACTGGTGTCTCTTGACCTTTAGGCTTTTCTGTGTCCGGTTCCAGAGGCGTTCCAGAGGCACGGACAGCAGAGGTGTCGTCGTCACTCTCCTCTGATTCGAAATCCATGGGTACCTTCTTTTTCGACACTTTCGGTACTTGTGCTTTAACCCGTACGGTTCCTTCCTCAGCTGTCAACTGTGCGATCCGATTCAGTATGGGAGTTGTCGGGTCTCCACTCGATGGCACTTTTTCCGTCTCCTGGCTGTCTGACATGTTACAGTGGACTTGTTTTTCCGGCGGTATCAGGCCTACTCTCGTGTATCGGATCGGATATCCTTTATGCGCGTTCGTTGTTGAAAGTATATTCTGTTTTATGAGCCTTGGCAATACACGTTCAGTGGCCGTATCGATTTCCTTTATCATCCCTTTTCCGTCGTTCCAGACTGCATTGATGTATTGGCTGATCCGGTGACTCGTTGACCCCAACGGGCTTGTCATTCCCGCGATTGCCCTTTCTACTCGCATTGCGGTATCTTCATTTGGAGTCGTCAGCGATTTATCCGAGCTTGACGGTCTGAATAGTTTAGCCTTATACGCGAAATTCGGATGTTTCTGGAGAAGTTTTCCCGCATTCCTAGCGTATTCCAATACCACATCGAACTTCTGTTTGGTAAAACTACGGTGCTTATCCTTCCTCAGATATTTCTTTAAACCCGTTCTGAATTTCGACGTTACTGATGTGGTTCTTATTCGTGTAAAGTTCTTCTCCGCTCCGTTGAACGCATCAATAATTTCGTCAATCGTGGTCATATTATCGCTGTCTGGATCTTCGAATTCCGCTTCATCGCCCGAGTAATCAAGTTCACTGTCACCGTCCGGTTCGATGTAAGTGGCCATTGCCAATGCGTCGATTTTCATGGCCTCTTTTCCTTTCTTTTTCAACTTTGCGGGTTCGCTCTTTGCTTTTTTCCCTCTCTCAAGAGCCTCCGCTAGGCTTCCTGGCTCCGCGGTTCTGGGTCTAATCGTTTTCGGGTCCGTGTGTGACCTCGTACTAACCGTCGAAGTACTTGGAAGGCTCACTTCCGATGCTTCCGATTCACGAGACGTCTCTCGTTTTGCCTTTTCTCGCGTTCCCTTTTCCCTACGCTCTTTCGTAGTAGATGCCGAGATGACGACTGGAACAAGCTGTTTCACAGCTATGAGCTTTCCTTTGGATGTTGACGGCTCAGGCTCGGTGACCTTTGATTTTGATGTAGCCGATTCAATAACGAATTTCTTAGGAATAATAGGTACAGATGACCTTTCTTCCACTTCACCGACTGATTCGTCCAATATCTCGACATCATGGGACGACGGTTCGTCTTTCTTCTTTCTTTCTCCCTTTGTCTTCCGGGTGCTTGTGCTCTCGCTTTCATCACCACTCTTTTTCGTCTTATCTTCTTCTTCCTTCCGTTTCTTAAGGAAGTCGCCTTTCTTGACCTTCTCACGGTTCATGGCCTCTTCTAGTTTAGCCGCTTTTCTCGGTTTAACGACCACTTTTGAAGGCTGAATATCTTCCTCGGCCATGTCGTCGTCTTCATCGGCCTGTTCCTCTGCCGAATCATCGTTAGCTTCCTCGTCTTCTGATTCGTCCAGTTTCGATGGTCTCCAGGTACTCTCCGTTCCTGCCTTTTCGGCTACGGAGGCCTCTGCCATCTCTCCGGCTCCACTTTCTTGTGCCGGGTTTTGGGCCTGAATTTCCAAATGTGGTGTTTCTTTAGCCGGTGCTTGTGTTACGATCTTCCACAGGGGGTTTTTCTTCGCGTCATAAAACACCGTTTTATACGCTCCGTTTTCCGTTTTCCTCGTAAGTCGGAAATGGGCTTCATCCATCTCCGCTCGATGCCGCATCATCCTGATCAGCGTATTCGCTTGAATCAGAGGATCTTGACGTTCGCTCACTGGTATCAAGTTCCACAGCTGTTCGAGTGCTGCCCGATTGGCGTGTTCGGCACTCTCTTCTGACGCATCCCATGGAGCGTATGGGATCGGATCTCCCGTTATCGGGTCGACGATTACTGCGGTTATGCAATCCGTTGTTCCATCGCCGAAGTGGAGTGTTAGCGTCATTTTCCTGCTTGTTCCATCGGTGTACTTCAGGGTTGATTCGTAATCGTCTAATGTTCGCCTACTCGGGTCTGGGTCTGCTGTTGGTTTCGGCCGAATTCTCTCTTTCGTCAGCAATTTCCCGTCCACTGTGTATGTATATGCTAAGTGGTCGTCATTTGTGCCCACCTTAATACGGATCCATGCGTTTTCTTCGACCGCAACTTTGGACACCACGTGCTTCATCATCTGAATAAGGACTCACGGATTATGGCGTTCCTCCGGGGGAATGAACTGTAACGCCTCATGGACTTCTGTCTTTGCCCTTTCTCCAATTTCAGTTTTGACTGACTTGTCCGCTAGGGGATTTTATGAATCAATCTCCTTATTCGTTCTTTTATCGACTATCCGAGCGGTGACCTTTCGTTCGTTATGGTCAGTTCCAGTGTATTTAACTGTAAAAGTCCGGCACTTCGGAAGTCGAACTGAAGCAGCTTCAGGATCCGGCGGCGTGGGTGGTGCACTCTTTCTATCCACTGGGATCGGTGCTTTACTCGTCGTGACCTTTTTCGTCCGCTGCTCCTTCTTGTCACTTTCTTTTGGACTTGTCGTCGGTGACCTTACTCTTTTTCCGCTTTTTACGGTCCCGCTAGACGGCTCTGTAACCGAACTGGTACGTCCGCGTACTGATCCTGCGGTTGAACTGGCCCGTGACCTTTCTGCCCGTTCGGTTAATTCTGTCTCGATTTTTCTCTTTGTTTCCAGGAGAGCACTGTCCGACATCTCCTCTACTGGTGCTTCGACTGATGTCCGTGATGGCCCCGCCGCACTGCTTGCTGGGGGTCCCCTTTCTTTGGGAATCGTCTTAAAGAATATCTGTATCTTCTCGATCATCGGCGGCCATTTTCTGTTGGTTAGAGCCGGATGGTACTGTTTCATCGAGGCGATTCTGATCGCCAACTCTTTACGTTTCACTTCGATGCTTTTAGTCTTTTCCTTCATCGCAATGTGGACTGCTTCAATGATCGCGTCCAGACTCATCAACCTTCCATAGAATGCATGTTCGTCCTCGACTCGCATGTGGATTCTATAGAGATCCCGGCACATTCGGTTAAAGTCCCCAATGGCCGCTGTATCGGCAGCTGTCAGTCCTTCTTCGTTGCCCACTATCACGTTCAGTCGCGCATCGTCTTCTTTCATGTCCAACGGAAGTTTCGGTGAGTAATCGTGCACCGTTGGTTCGCCCGGGGGCGTTGCCCGCAGACCATCTGGTCCGACCTGCTCCAAGTTTGGGCCCAGCGACGGCAGTACTCCTCGCGGTCGTGGTGAGTCGAACCTATTTCCTCCTCGCCTCGCTCCTTTTTGTGGCGAGTTCCTGTGAAGTCGTTGCGCTCCCAATTGCTGCGGTGATCTCAAGCGGGGTGCTCCAATATCCGACAATGACAAACCTCCCGTTTCTGGAAACGGTGGTAGTATCGGAGATGCCCTTTGTGACTGTACTGGAGTCGCTAACATTCCGCTGAATCCGCCGTGTCCCATGAATCGACTTGGTGTAGTCTGTTGCGGTGGCGGCATCAGCATTCTTGCCGGTCCCATCATCATCTGTGGTGGTCCCATCGGTGAGGTATACAATCCCGGGTACGTCTGATAAGGGGCATTATGCATCGGTTGTTCTGTATACTGGGTTCCGGCAGTTGAG